CCAGCTCGTTTATACTTAGATGCAAAAATGGTGAGGTGCATGCACTAACTTAACTAAGATAGTATAGAAAAATGAGGTCTTCTAAACATGTTTTTACCGCATTATGTGTATGTTTGACATGAAATTTGTAAATAATCTGAAGAGAAAATTAAGACGGACTTTATTTTAACATCCTCCAATTAAAACATTTCTTGAAACTTTTTTTGTATTTTCTTCGTATATATAACTTTTAATCTGTATAGTGTCGTATGAAATTAGTCATTCCGCTTAACTTAAAATCCATTTTGTTTGTGTTCAAGTGTTTAAACGGCTAAATCTCATAACAATAGTTCCATTTTATGATTAAATATAAAAATTTAACTTAGGCGTTCACTAAACGGGCCCAACAGGGCCGGTCCAAAGTTTCAAAATTTTCTTTGATACCCTACGCATAACTAAAAATTTAGGCCTTTTTGTTAATGTAAAAAAAAAAATTCTCCCAAAAAAAATATTTTATAATGTGAGACCCTAAGCGATGGCTTCACTTGCTTGCCCTCCGGACCGGCTCTGGGGCCCAAAACGAAGAAATTAATATGCGACCTTTATATGTTCTAATAATAATAAGCAAAAAAAAAAAGAGCGGACAAAGGGAAAGTGAAAAGCGGTTTTGATGAGGGAATAGCCGAATAGGCATAAACTATGGGCTTGTCCACCGATTTCATGCAATGCAAACAAAATCTCGTTACGTACGAAAATTGAAATATATGGTTTTTGACAAATAAATAAATTGGAGAGTAGTCAATCAACTACTGTAGTATATATTTTCTAGCCACAGATTCTCAATTAGGACAACTAATTTAAGACATTTGCGTGTCGATCAAATATTCGAATAGCTGCTAAAGTGCTCAACCCTTCTTTATTTCCATTCTTAAATAGTTTATTTTGGAATAATCAAGGAAAATTCTTATAATCGTTTCGAAATTCTTTCAGATACATAGGTGTTATGATAGAAATCTTAATAAAAAGACATAATTTTTCTTCTAGGCTAAAGTGTACTTATAAAATACACCTGGTAGGATTTTTATAAATAATTCGAGGAATTGTCCTTAATTAGACAAAAATATGGTTTCTTGTGGAAGTCAAAATAACTGTTCCCCAGAATTAATAAAATAAACTATTTGTTCAAGAACCAAAAAAAAACATATCCTGCAATCTGCATCGCATCCCCCGAGTTAAGCTTATTCTCATCTCATGTATTTCCTTTAAAAACGACACACCGTATATTATTTTGTTTAATATAAAAAAAAAAAACTGTTTTCCATAGAAACTTAAAAAAAAAAAAAAAAAATCTTACTTTTTCAAGTAACAGGCTTGGTTTTACGATAATTTATTTAAGCTACGATTTAAAGTTAATTTATTTAAACTAAGAGATCTAATTACTAATTGCTTCGCATTTTAAAAATATTTTGATTTTTGGCGCATACAGAAAAGTGCCTGGCAATTGTAACATGGACACGTGGACGCTTGAAGAAAGGCCACGTAGGTTTTTGAGCTTGAAAAAATATTTCACGTGGTCTTGGCCCCTTCTCTTTGTCATACATTCACCTTGAGAACCGAATCAGGTCAAATCTTCGTTTCTTTTTTTTATTAACTTTTTTTTTATCTCTTCTCCAAATGCTTAACTCGAATAGTAGTAGTAAATCTGTTTTCTTCTGGGCTCATGAGTCATGAGTATTAAATCTGTTTATAATTTTCGGATTTTAAGTTATATTTAAGAATGATTTTTTCTCTTTTTCATTATACATTGTTTATTTTATTATATTTTATTTTTATTAGTCAAATACAAATTAAAATATTACTCCCTCTGTTTCACAAAGAGTATCATTCTACCATTTTCACACAAATTAAGAAAAATAAACAAATTTCATTTCTACCCCTTATTAATACACTAAATAATACACTCTTTCTAATTAATAAGCTGAAATAGTGAGGATAAAAAAAAAATTAATCTTTAAAACTGCATTGAAAATACAAAACGACACTCTTTGTAAAACAAGATTAAAATCTCAAAATGATATTCTTTGTGAAACGAAGGAAGTATATAACTATAATGTAAATTAGAAACAAATTAGATATAAAAGTATTTGGCGAATACTGACCGATTTTTTATTATTATTTTATAATCAAAGTTTCAAATCAAAATTTAAATTTTTCATAATTTATGAGAGGGTTGAGTTTCTTATGATATGAGGTACATTTGTAAACGATGATCAAAATCGTAGTAGAAAAATATTAATTTTAGTGTATTTTAATTTTTAAGGTAAATTCTCAGCCGCTAAGTGGGATAGTAAAACAGAAAGGTAGTTTTAATTTGGTTGAAGGAAATAATAAACCAACTATACTTAAATGACAATAATTATTTTAATACAAATTAAATCCATATAGAATTTAGATTTTTAGCTGTATTAATGACAACAAAAACAAAACAAAATCGTGTATTGTAACTCTCAGTCGAACTTTCTTATATCTAGTGAGGGCTTTGACTTACGATTAGAATCCAAAGAGAAATAAATACAGAAGAAGACGAAGTTATAATGAAAATTGAGGAGCAGCTTTTTTGGTTATTAGTCACGTCATGAGAAGAGGAAGAAGATGAAGGAGAAGAAGAAGAAGAAAAGAGATAATGGAAGATCATTAATTAGGGAGAGGGTCACAATGCAGTACGAGACAGTTCACTGAATCTCTAATGTAACCCCACAAACTCTCACGCATATCATAGCTTCTGAATACAAACAAGCCTCGATCCCATTAACCACAGACTTGTCCGTCTCTTCTTCTTCTTCACACTCATCTTTATAATTAACACACACACACACATTTGTTATATACTCATTTGTGGATGTGCCTAAAGAGACACGTGTAGGGTTTATCGCAATATGTATGTATTTACACGATATATAATTTACTGTTTTATCTTTTAATGTTAATGCATCTAACTTTAGAATGACTTGAGTCCACCATAACTTGGTTTAATAGTTTTTTTATGCTACATATGCCACAAATTCTCGGACCTTTATATTAAGTCTTTTGCTATTTGATAGTAGTAATTTGTGGACAAGTAAACGATATATTCATACGTAGATAAAATTATATATTTGCAGAGATTCATGAATGATCATCATTAAATATATATAAGAAACTGGTAAGAAAACCTTTTGTTTTCGTATTTTTTAAATCCATATACATGTATTATATACACTCACACATGTATTATATGAAAGTGAATGTGAATGTTGTATTATATAGATTGAAAGTGAGTGAACTGAAAGGACGAGAGAGGCCGAAGACAGTTTGTTTGTTTTCGTGAACATGGAGCTTCTCTTTACCATGTGCTCTCTTTCTTTCTTTCTTTTTTTTTGACTTCTGCTCTCTTTTCGTTTTATAATTCCTATTTTTATTTTACTTTCTTCACATTATGGTGTTTTTTTTACGGGTTTCTATATGAGAATGGCACTGAAGATGGAGCAATGAGTTCACATGCAAACATAAAATATTACGCAAACAAAAATGAAAAAGCTACATTCTAGGCATATGCGTGAATTTTCCACGGATTTCTGTATAATATTAGGCTATGAGCAGACAAGTAGCTAGATTTGCTTCTACAAATATAGTTTCAGATTTCACCTCTTTACTTTCAGATTTGTTACATTACACCCCTAATTGTGCCCTTGATGGCAAACAAATGAACAATTATACAGTAGTACTGAGAACGAGAATATATCTTTAAAAATTCTAAAAGCTCCAATAGTTTCGGTCATTAGTTCATAACTTCATATTCATAATAATTACCGCGAATAGCCCATCCAACTTGACTATGCAAAAGCGTTAATTAAAAGAATAAACGTCATATCAAACGTAAGACAAATTTGAACACATATGACAATTATTTCTAGGCCTACGCTTGAAAAAATGAGATTTCTATTCACAAAGATTACCTTGATTTAAGGGTCAAATTGCAATTTTAAAAACAAGTGATGGTGATTATCAAATTAAGGCAAGATCTAGACGCAATTTAGTAGAATATGCGTATACACAATAGACAATTACGTACACAATATAGAGCTAGTAACAATATTTCTTCATTAATATGTGAATATATATAAAAATTAAAAATATGGCAGACAAATAAATAAAGCAAGAGGGGTAGACAAATGTTCATCCGTTTTCGTCGAGACATGAAATTTGTGGGATCAAAGCTTTCCTGTAAGGAAAGTGAATTAATCAATGTATATTACTCTCTTTTTGTTTGTTTCCCAATTAGATAACTCAGACAATTAGATTAATACATTTTCATTGATATAGTAATTAGGACCTAAATTTTTGTGTCAGGCCAGTTTCCTTCTCTTTTCTTTTCCCAACAATTCAGGGTCGGTCTTTATATTGAAAAGAGAAAATTTACGCTATGTTAATAAACTATAAATATTATAATTAAGAAACTCGTGTTTTTGAAAAATACTACATAAAATATAGATGAAAAAAACAATGTAAATTAGCCTGCCAGAAATTTAAACTTTTGATGAACAATGATTAGAGTAAAGACATAGATTGTCATTGAGACTAATATCTAAATGTATCTTGATATTTTTACCCACTGGACGAATTTGTCTACATAAGAATGCACGTAACGATGTTAGAATCCGCGACATCTAGAACTATGAGACGCGAATTTGTCTAAAAGGTTTACTGCAGTAATATCAATTATTAAACCAAAAAGTTTCCTACAAAAGAATTCGATTATTGTTTCCCAAATGAAAAAACTTGTGTGTTTTATATGATTTTGAGTGAAACTCTGTTAGCAGTACCATCTCTTTTTTCATAGGCTAAGCTTACCAAAATAAAAACTACATCGATTCATGTCAAGTCTTGTTATATATAGCTAATCTAGTCATAGCTATAGGCTAGAGCAAACAAAAATGTTTTTATTATTTGTCACGAGAAAACAATAAAATGTGTTATCAAACAAAATAAAAACCATACATTATACAAAGCCATATTTACTAATCACAAATTAAACGGGAATCTTTATTTTAATTAATAGTATACACTCGCACACACTCACATCTCTGGATTTTTATATAAATACACTTCATCTTCTTTAATCCACAAACTCACACACACTCTCTGTTTTTTTCTTCCATTCTATTACCAGAAAACAGAGTTCCAGAGAGAGAAAAAAATGGAATTGTCGAGTCAAATGAATGTGTTCGAAGAGCTTCTTGTTCCGACAAAGCAAGAAACCACCGACAACATCAACAACATGAGCTTTAATGGCGGATTTGATCATCAATTCTTCCCAAATGCATATAATATTGATTACCTCTGTTTCAACAATGAAGAAGAAGACGAAAATACCCTTCTTTATCCTTCTTCTTTCATGGATCTAATCTCTCAACCTCCTCCATTGCTTCTTCACCAACCACCACCGTTACAACCACTGTCGCCGCCGTTATCATCCTCCGCTACCGCCGCCGCAGCATCATTTGATTACCCTTTTCTTGAGGCTTTACAAGAGATAATTGACTCTTCTTCCTCTTCACCTCCATTGATCCTTCAAAATGGTCAAGAAGAGAACTTTAACAATCCGACGTCGTATCCATCTCCATTGATGGAGTCTGATCAGAGCAAGAGCTTCAGTGTTGGTTACTGTGGAGGAGAGACGAACAAGAAGAAGAATAAAAAACTCGAAGGCCAACCTTCTAAGAATCTCATGGCGGAGAGACGACGGAGAAAACGACTTAACGATCGTCTTTCTATGCTCCGATCCATCGTCCCAAAAATCAGCAAGGTAAATAAAAATTCTGACCTTTTTTTTTTCGAAACCTTTTAAGATAATTGTAATCAGAATCAGAATGGTCAAAATCAACAAAAGATTGATCATATTTTAATGAGTAGGTTAATGTATTATTATATGTGTTCATAAAGAAAATAACCTTTTTAATCTTCTTGATTTACCCCAAAATCTAACCCTAGCTATCGGTTTTTGTGTTCTTTGAAGATTTTATTGAACGATTAATTCAAAAAAATTGTCTAAGAAAAAACCACAAAAGAGTCGTCCTTTTTTAATGAGTGAATTGATTATAGATTGATTTCAAATTCAGCCTTTTGTATTTTAATCTTTTTAACATTATGTGTTTGTTTCTTCTTGTTTGAAAACCTTTTTTTTCAAGATTGTTTAATTATTGCGTTCTTACTTTTAAGGGAATCTACAGAACCGGTTGAAAAGTGGATAAATCATTTAAATTAAAATAATGATTATTGGTATGTTCAAAAAATCAGATGGACAGGACATCGATATTAGGAGATGCCATAGATTACATGAAAGAGCTTTTAGACAAAATCAACAAATTACAAGACGAGGAACAAGAACTAGGAAATAGCAACAATTCACATCACTCTAAGCTCTTCGGTGATCTCAAGGATCTTAATGCAAACGAATCTCTGGTCAGAAACTCTCCAAAGGTACAAAGATATTTTACATTTTACTACTACTACACTGCTCTTGTTTTTTTTTACATATTAGCCCTTGTATTTATGAATTGTTATAAACACGACCCCCTTTCTTAAAATAAAATGAAAATCACAGTTATTCTTTTTTTTCGTTTTAAGAAAAATAAATAATAGTGTGATGGTGATTATGTGAACTTTGTATTTGTTTTGCATAGTTTGAAATAGATCGGAGAGATGAGGATACTCGAGTTGATATATGTTGCTCTCCAAAACCGGGATTGCTTCTATCGACTGTTAATACATTAGAGACTCTAGGCTTGGAGATTGAACAATGTGTTATAAGCTGCTTTAGTGATTTCTCTTTGCAGGCTTCTTGTTCTGAGGTACTATATACATATGTACATTGATTGATATAAATTACAAGATATAAAAAGGTATAAAAAGGTTAAGAAACTATAAGACATATATATTTGTAACGATAAAGATATTAAGATTGATGAGTTTGTTGTGTGGATGCTTATAGGGAGCTGAGCAGAGAGATTTCATAACATCGGAGGATATAAAACAAGCATTATTCAGAAACGCAGGTTATGGTGGAAGTTGCTTGTAAAATGAGTTATCATGATTGAAATTAATAAACCAAAATTATTGTTTATTTTAAATAATACTAGCGCGTATAAACTTTAGATGTTGTGTTTATAATTTATATAATTCCCTTGTGAGTTTGAATTTTTTTCTTGGGGAAAACATTATGAGTTCAGTTGTACAACAAAAAAAGGAAATTAAAATTAAAGAGATGTTTATCTTGGAGAATTATTGGAATTTACATTAATAATACATCCTTAATTATCCCAAGAACGAATTGAGATACAAAATAAAAGGTTTATAGTATAATTCTAGTATTGCTTTGAGGTAAATAATCACTCGATAATTGATTTAGGGTTTGTATATGACAGTGACCGATGTTCGAACTTGGAAGGATGCATCATCAAATAAAAAGCCGTATTACATTAATCAAAAAGTTTAAAAGGCTAATTAATCATAAGAGTGATTATAATGTTAATGACTGTACCTCCACCAATCAACGCATTCATCATTACATGGGGGCCTGTGGTCGCGTGGTTAAAGAATAGTCAACGCACATGTAATTATGAATTTATCAGTGCGCCTGAAGTATAGATCCAATGGGCCTAAAGTATAGATCCAATGGGCTTTATTTGGTAGCCCAAAATATATGTTTTCTTCTAGATCTCTTTTTTTTTTTTTTTTTCTTTTCTTCATCGGTGTTTTTCACAGAGAATCTCCGATTTAGAAACAATCCTCCGTTCACGGCTAATCTCCGTTTGATCTCGCCGACACTCGAGCTCTTTACAGATGAAGGATGGAGACTCCTTACCATTAAGCACTTCTTCCGTCGCGGCCACGACGGTGAACGCCAAGAAGGAAACCGGTTATTCCGCTCTCTTCTCCAAAGGCCGATACAAGTTTTGGGCCTTAGCTGCGATTCTGTTACTCGCATTCTGGTCAATGCTCACTGGCACCGTCAATCTCCGTTGGTCTGCCGGTAACATTAACCATTTCACCGACGATCTCGTCTTTCCGATCCACGAGGATCTCGATGTTCTTGTGAGTCTCTTCTTCGCGATCTCGTTTTCGGATTTCTGTGAATTGGTTTTGATTGTGTTGTGTGATGAGGTTATTAGGAAATGGAGGAGAGGGAGAAAGTGGTGAAGCACATGTGGGATGTGTATAACAATGGCCGTCGTATAAGATTACCGAGGTTTTGGCAAGAGGCCTTCGAGGCTGCTTACGAGGAGCTTACCAGTGATGTACCTGATGTTGTTGAGGCTGCCATTTCCGAGATCGCTAGGATGTCTATTCGCTCCGTTGTTATAGATCCGCCTCCGCTTCATTCTACGGTGAGACTCTAACCACTGCACATTGCTCTCTCTGTGCGGTTTCATTATGCTTTTAGTGTGTTGAGGTCACAGATTAATTATGATTAGCTTTGGTTATACGTTGCTTAGCTTTGGAAGATAGAGATCAGAGTCTGTGTCGATTTTGCCGCTGAAATCTTAAGGTAGAAAAATAGTCTTGAGGAGCTAACTAACCATTCTGGATAATAGATAAGTATTATGCATAGGTGTTAACCATTCTTGAGGAGCTAATAGATTACTATTATGCATAGGTGTAAGTAGATTGGCTTCATCTTCTATTTCTTTTGGCAACTCTTTTTATCGTTTTACCGGCCAAAGAAGTTTGGTTTCTTCTCTTCAGCCAGATCAGGCAACTAGGGGAGAAAAAACATGTTGTCGCTCTTAATTACGGTCGAAGTTTTATATCCATCTTAGCGCATAATTCTAAGCAACTAATATGGATGTTGATCCTTTTCGGAGGGTTAGTGTGACGGGTAGGGGTATCAATATGAAAGCTTGTTCGTTTCGTGGTTCTGCGCTCTAGATTATGCCGATGAAGATACCTGCATAACTACAAAGTGATGATTGTCTATATGTAACTGAATTATGGAGAGATTGTAGGTTTCTCTGTCTGCATTTAATTCCACACTCAGCCACATAAGGTAGAGATATAAATGTTTGGATAGTCAGTTTTTCTCCTCCACGTACATTCTCTTATTAGTGCATTAGTCTGGCTTTTTACAATCCACTTCCATGCTGTTGATCTGCTCAATCGGAAAGGATTGATCTTCTCAACCAGATACTTCTTGCTATATAGCTGCATTGATGGTTAGGAGAGTTATAAAATAAGTACTGATCCAGTGAATCCCTCTTAATAGGCACAATATAGAAAGAATATGGCTATTTGGAAACCTTGAGTTTCTTTGTTTGTTGTAGGTGGTAACGAAACATTTAATACTTGTTGCATGATTAACTTGTGTCACTTTGTTTGCAGAATGTACGAGAATTGACAAAGACTCTAAAACTTGCGGACAACGGAAGATCGACTCAAATATCAAAACCAAGCAGCCGTCGATTGAAATAGCTATGGAGCTTTACGAAAGGTAGTGTAGTCGTCAGCCGGCGTGGCGTGACCATACTTAATGTCAGAAAGATCGATCAATCAATCTCATCCCTAAAAAATATGTCCATCGTTAGTGTTATTTTTTCTTCCACTAGGGGCATGAATCATTTCACTATCATCATCTCTATACGCCTACCAAAAAAAAAAAATCATCTCTATAAACAAAATTTTGAGCAAGTTTCTTGTCCACAGCCTGAATGGTTATGTCTTTTATTTTTGATTTTATAAATATTTCATATTTAGTTAGCCCATAAATGAAAATACCTTCCTATGAATATTCTAGTTATATTGAATAAATTTTCCAAAAACAATGAAATAAAATTTTAATTGTGCAAAAAGCTTAGAAATAAACAGATATATAATGTAACAGATTGATGGGATAACAAGTAAAAAAAAAAAACTTTTGTGTCTAAAAATAGTATTTTGTCCCTTGAGTTATTTCATTTATACAAATGGAAAAAATAATTATTGGATTGAGGAATCATCACATATAAAGAATGAAATAACACACATCCAAATGTCCAACAAAGGAAAGTATAAAAACAAAATATAATGATTTTTTAATCAAGAAAGAACTCCACTTGGGCACTATGAAACAACTTGCCACAACAAAAACACTCAATAGCATGATGAAAATGAGGCTTACGCTATAATCCGGAGAGACAACAAACAAAAAAGGCCTATATAACATTCATTTTCACTCGTTTGGTGATACGTCATGTTTCTCACTTAATTCTAGAATTATATTTTTAACACTAATCGCAATGATTGGAAAAAATATAGAGAACATAAATCAAACGTTTTCTATAAAAGGTTAAACAATAGCAAGAACAAAGTCTCAATTATCTTTAAGGACGAAAAACAAAAAAGTCTCGATTAACCTAAAACTGGCTTCAAATAGCAGATATCATTAAATTTTATTAGGCAAGTCTAACCAAGAATCTATTGGGAGAACCGGAGATCGACGGTCGAGATGATCGTCCAAGATTATGGAAATCATGTGTATGATATAGCATTGGTCCATATCCGAGTTTTAACATTATCTACAATTTGGAAACTAATGATGAATCCTTTTCGAATTCTGAAGCAGCCCAACAAGTTGTGTAGCAGCCCTTTCTTAATCATACCTGACAGATATTACAGAAGAGAAAAAAGGTCGAAAAAGAGAATATAATGGGACAGGTATGGATTGATGATAGCCAAATTTTCTTATTTAAATTATACTCTTTTTACAAAAGTTTTTAAAATCAGTTTAGGGACGAATCTATCGATAACACTTGAATAATCCAATTGGTGTCACGCCTAATTATGATGGATTATAACCTCCGAGAGGTTATAGTCCAGAAACTACGTAAACTTGCATTAATTAAGATTTAAATGCTTTTGAATTATGTGGCCAATGCCATACAAAACTAGATTCTAAGCAAAATTGTGGTTTTGACTGCAAAGGAGTTGGTACTAATCCATGGAGAAATTTTTCAATTAAAAGTACATGTACCTAACATTTTCAACATGGATTTCCACTATAACCGTTTTTTTTTATAAAATAATCCATTTGTTCTGTATTCGAATTCATTATATCTTTTATTTTTCATTGTAGCTATAGTATATTTAAATAAATGAAAAAATATGTATGATTAGAAGAAAAATTAAAAGGTGACGTCAGGATAAGAGGAAGCACTAAGAAATGTTCCCCCATGTGACCTTCTTCAATCGCAGGCCCGCTCTTGTCTTGCTTATCATCCGTACGTTTTACATTATACTCTACTTTTCATCATTTTCTTACAAATTATTTTTATGTTCTTATAATACATTTCTTAGTTTTTTTAGTTGACTATATACTGTTGAGTTGTTTCGAGGAATGTACGTATTGCGTACCAACTATATATATCACGGAAAAAATTATTCAAAATTTAATTACGAAAATTTTGAAATAACAGAATTATTTTTAAGTTAAGATGTTTTGATAGAAGAGTGAAGAAATTCCGAGTTAAAATGTTCTTATTTCCACAATATCTTTAAGAGAAAGCATGAGTTCATAATCTTATTTATTATTATACAATTTCTTCTGAATTATAAAGTAGTTATATTTTTTTTTATGTTCTCTTATGAGGGGAATCTTGTAGATTTTTTTTAGTGTTTCAGCATATTACTCCCTCCGTTTCAGTTTAGTTGTCGTTTTAAATTTTGTTTCATAATAGTTGTCGTTTTAGGTTTTTAATGCAAATGTTTGGTGAAAATTCCAGTTTTATCTTTACAGTTTTAATGTTTTGGCTAATGAAATTTTTTATAAAATATATTATTAAAGAGTAAAACAGAAAATTTAATGCTTTTTTAATTTGTGTGAAAAAACCTTAAACGACAACTAAAAGAAACGGGAGTATATGTTTTCTCAGCTAAAAACAAAAACAAATAAAGAGATAAAATGGCATGATCCCTAGGTTTCAGCGGTGATTGCGGTGCCCTCACATGCTTTCATATGACAACAGTATTTTTTAATACTACTGTTTTCATGATAATATTTTTTAGCAATACTATTATGACAATATTTAAATAAATGGTACTGCAATTTTTTTGGAGAATAATTATAATTATTATAGTAATCTAGTAAATTAGATCTACTAATAATAATGTGATTTTTATATACACATTGGTTGAAAAAGAATTTATGAATAGACAACATAAAGATACGCGTATCATACAAAATTTTGATATTCTTCTTGTTTAAACGTATAAGTTTCTGGAACATTGAAAACATTACATATAACATTTGTATACATAGAAATTCGAGCTCAACTACTTAGACTTAGGTGTTTTTATGTTACTGGTGTGTTCATAATCGGTTTAATTTCTTATCGTAATAAATGCAACTATAGTTAATGGAACTATTTTACTAGATTTGCAATATATTTTTAATACCAACAAACCAAATAATCTCCAAAAAAAATGGTCGCGGAAGAACCACGAAGCATAGATAACGTCATCAAATGAATCAGTACAGTCAATTTGTACTTTCCAGTGTAGGACGCACTTGAAACAACACTGTTTATTTTGCATCTTTTCGTAATATCTAACTCTTACAAAACATGATGAGAAAAAAAAAAAAACTCTTACAAAACATTTCATTACTTTTTGATTCAATGAAGTAAATTTACTTCTGACATTTTTTCTGTTGTTATTGTTTCCTTTTGTTGTGACGCGCTTTGAAATTCTAAACTTGCTTGATATGCTTAAAAAGAGATTTGATTCGAAACTTCGAGTTAACTTATTAACCTTTGCTATTTTATTTGGTTGCATAATTGATAATTAGTGGACTCGAGCAAAAGATAAATCTCTATCGATCAGATTCGGGGATAATTTAGATTAGAATATTGGGATCAACCAATGGATTTAACAGGACTGAAATTCATCAAATCATAAAAATATAAGAATAAAATAAAATAATAGTGAAATTAGGTCATGAAGTTGATTGTTAATGTTGGAGGGGTCCAAGTGGTGGGGATGTGTTTAGAGAGCACTTGGTTAAGAAAACTTGCCAGTGACGTCAATTTCCGATTGGGAACTTTAGTGCCAAATATAAAGTTTTTTTTTTATATTTTGAGGGTCCCTAACTTTATTAAACAGTGTGGAATTTTTATTTGGCAATTAACGGAATAGGTATCGTAATTAACGGAGAGCTATTTAACGTCTAATTCGTATTTTGTCCTAATCAAAACCAAATGAACTTTTGGTGGTTAGACGTCAATTTCAGTACGTAATTCCATATAAAAACATGTCTCATTTTGTAGGAACTTGAAAAAATATGGTGTTATTATCTGTTTTATCTTCTTTACCCTATCCAAGAGTTAGATATCTATTGGCGGAAAAGAAACAATTATTAATTTCTTGTCCATAATGTAAACGTATATAGATTTTTTAAAATGATGATTAATCACAAAGACTTCTTGTTGTAAACGCACAAGATTGAAACTTGGTTTTGCAGTTTTTCTACTTAAAGCATCAAACGTGGTTGCACAAAACACCTTTTAATTTTGTGGATTATTGATATAAAAGGAAATGTGAAGAATCATGCAATCTTCATTGGCTATTTCTGGTACAATTCAAACAGATCTCGAGATGTCTTAAATTGCTAGCAATCTATTATTTTGGTAAAAAAAAAATTAAACAAAAATTCACAATTTTCAGTTTCGTCTATCAATTCATTTGTAGCCAAAGAAAAACAGAATTGCATCAGGACATCGACATCGAAAATATCGTCTGACGAAATGTGCCATGTGTTTTGTGATTACACAGGTAGTAGCACAAAATAGGTGTAGGACTATAGGATATTAAACATAAAAAACAAAATAACTGTGCTATTTTTATTTTTTCACATAATACAAAATATCCAGTTTTCAAACATTATTGTTGTCAATAGAAAAAGAAAAACGTAAAAATTAACCTCAAATTCCATAATTTAGTTTGATTTAACAATCGTGTTATTCTGTTTTTTTTTTTTGGCACAATCAGACCACTTCATTTTATAGCAACTGAATACAAAAATAAATAATCAGTGATAAAAAAATTAAATTGTAAAATTTATGATCCATATGTACATAAAAACGAGATATTTCGACATTTTTTCCGCCTTTTTTGTTATCTTATAGCTAATTAAATCTAATACAAAGGAACAGGAAAACGCGGTGGCTTGACAGGTGGCGATTGCGGCGGAGTTTGGACATCTACGGTGGGTTTTTCCGGTCGAGGTGGCGCACACGGACACGGCAATGCTATGAATTTGGGTGTATTATCTCCAGGCATTAATACCGGCACGCTCAGATTCTGAGGTTTCTTCATGTCCTGTTCATAAGAATCATATTTCTTAGTTAATCATTCAACTTTACTTGTTTTTATGTTTATAAATTAATAACATCTAGTAACACAGATGTCTAAACTACTTCTACAACGTTATTTTATATTGTTTTAATAAAAACTCTGCTTTCCCAACATATTTACAAAAAAAAACCATAATTTTGTATTTACTATTACATGTAACAACTCAAATTCTTAAAATGTTTAGATTTAGCACCTCAAATTTCTTTAAGTAGTTTTTTTAGTAATTGAAAACTATTTATCAAAAAATAAAAATTAATTGAAAACTAAAGTACATATTAAACCATAATGTTTTGCTTACACGTTTCAAAACTGTAGTTTATATGAGAAAAATAAAAACTAGAAATTATTATAATTCATAGAGGTCCACAATTTGGAAATTGATATAAATTAACTTGAAAAGAGTTACCGGAAAAGGAGGTTTAGGTTTGTAAGGATTAGACTCGATGTCGGCGGAGGCGGAGGAGGGACGACCATTGGCCAAAGAGCGGCGGAGAGAACGATGTTTGTCCCAATGGTAACAACAAGAGAATATTCCGGAGAGGCTGAAAATGATTATAAGAAGCAGAGCTGTGCCGAGAGGGAATCCTAGTGACGGCCGAGAAGCATCCATGTGAGGCGGCGAGAAATCTTGAGTGTTCTCCATCTTCTACTACGACGGTGGCGATATAATCAACGGCTGCGATTGTGAGCTGATAATTTTGTTCTCTCATGTGTTAGAGAGAGAAAGAGAAGAGAAGAGAAGAGACCTTGTGAGTTTGGTGAGAACAGGGGACGGGGAAACAAGAAGAGATAGGGAGTGATTAGTTATAGAAGATTTTTTTTTTTTGCATAATAAAAAGAAATATAAAATGTTTTTTTATTTTATTTTACAACTGTGAAAAAGTTCTTTCTCAGTACAAATAAAGCAAATATGCTGTACAATAAAGTTGTCCCTTTTCTTTTCGCCGTTGAAATTTTTTATTCCCATTAATAATTATATCATTTTTAAACGATGGATTTTTCAAATATATAAGGATTATGTTTCTTGACTTTTGTTGAACCCATTTTATTATTTGATTATGCTTATTTAAAAGTAAATTTTGTTTTGTGCTGGAAAATTATGTTTTAGTGAGTGAAAAATATTTTTGACAAAATAAATGAGTGAAAAAATCTTGTATCCATGACTATAGAATTAATTAGCTAACTTTTATGGATTCCTTGGAGATGTTGATATTGGAATAATATGTGAGATTCTTTTATAAAAATGAAGACAGACAATTCCAAAGATAGTTTTATCTTTACATTTAGGGAAAAAGACCAATCAAAATGGAATTTATAAGTTTAAAAACCACTATGATAAAATAAAAATAGTTTAATGAATAATCTACAAGCAGAACAACATATATAGTAACGAAAAAAAATTCTTACAAAAAAAAAAAATCATAATAACGGAGTAATGTTTTCAGATAGTCTTTAAAATGATAAAACAATTAAATATCAGCTAAACAAATGTTTGTTTTAATAACAAATAATTTGAATTTCACATTTTTTGCTGCAAAAAAAGGTAACGTATTTTGTTATGTTTCCATTTTAATTCCTTTCAAAATAAGAGCTTAATCAAATTGTTATTGAAAATGATTAATGTCTTAATCCTACCAAAAAATAATACAGTAATTAATGTCTTAAATGAAATTAATGATGAATCTTGAAAAAGGGGAGAGAGAGTGGAAAATGTACGTGGAAAGAGAAGATAGAGAGGGCTGCCTGTACGGAGAAGACGTGGGCTCCAAGCTCCACCATGTTAATCCTTTCTAGCCGTTTGGTACCTAATCTTCATTAATTACCCTAAATCCTACTCTTATCTCCACTAGCTACTCCTACCAAATCTACTAACTTACGCTTAACTCTATCATAAACACAAACAAAACGGTTCTTCGTATTTATGCAAGGCTCTCATGTAATATTTCTGGTTTAAAATAGTAATGAGTCGGGTTAGAAAGAGTTTTAGGACAACATTATTGAAACTTCTTTATCATGAAACAAATTTTAATGATAAAGAAAAGATTGCATCGTTATTTGTTTACTCATGGAATAACGTTGGCTCGTCGATCTCCACCGACGTTATTCTATTAAATTTTGATGAGCTTTCACATTTTATAATATAGTTTCAAGCATTTTTAAATGCGAGAGAAAAGTATATGCTGGTACGAGTACTATATGCTAGCTACCAAATCAAAACAATTATCACATGATTTGTCTCTATTCGATCGATTTGTTTTTCAACGATTACATTAATTCTGATTGAGATTCTTAATTACATATTTTTTGGTTTCTAGATATTTATCTCGATGTGATAAACATACTTAACTATTTAATCCATATAACATACACAAAGTCATAATAGACCATTGCTATACACATAATTTGTTACAGACCTTCTCATGCATTAATTTTGGGAACCCTCTGTCAAGCAAAAAAAAAAAGAAGCATTTTCACTGTTTGATATTAGGTGAAATTTCTAAGATAGTACTCCCTCTGTCCTATTTTATTAGATGTTTGGACTAACAGCACAGAGATTAAGAAACAATAAATGTTTTCTCATTTATGAAAATTCAACCAATAGAAGAAGATACTGCATAATTAAAATAATTAAAAACTATTAAACTAATATATAAATCATGCATTGAAAGTAGAGAAAATCTTATATAATGGAACAAATTAAAAGGTCTAAAACATCTTATATATTGGGACAGAGGGAGTATAAAAATCTATTTAAATACATCAATCAATACTCCACATGTCCTAGTCATTTAATATAAACTTTTTTTTTTTTTTGCCAACCTTTGAAATTAATAAAGCATTCAATATACTTTCCAAGTTTTGTGTAATATATCGAAACTAGGCTAGGCTCGCTATAAAGACGAAACTAATACGATCATGTTATGGCCATGTGCATTGATTATGTGTGGGCGCTTGTTAACAGCCACACCCGAATTTTGTAACGATTGGAAGAGAACTTGAGTTACTACTCGTTGAACGTACGTACGTCATTTAGTTTTTTTTTTTTTTTTTTCTCGATTTAATTTATCATAAAGGTGTTCTCATAGCAAGGAAAAAGAAGTTGTGCTAACTTCGTTTTTGTTGATAGAAGTTGTTGAACATCAAAACAGATAATGTGGCATTGACGAATTGTGTTTGGTTCCTACACCGTCCCAAGACAATTCGTCCCCACTTACACCTTAACATGTCTCCTTCCAAAATATACGCTCTTTCTTTCCAACTTTGAGTTCTCATCACCAATTTAATTTTATTTTTCAAAATTTTCAACAAATATTTATTGATTTTTTTCATATGCATTAATTTTAATTGAATACGATAGACAAGGTTTATTTGTGATATAATCAAGAGACAAGATATACTAATCACATATTTAGTGATTAAGATGTTGTTGAGACGTGGTTCATTCATAGATTATCCACTTGGTCGCTATAACATAAAACCCGGAATACAATCAAATCCAAAAAAAAAGAAAGTATTTACTCTGATCCGACAAAATCCATACTATAGGGTAAAATCTTATACATAGCAAAAAGGCCAAAAACTCAAATTTTCCGGGTGACTATGGAACATATTTACGTCAAAAGTTTGGGACTTTTGCCGGCGATGCGTATCAACATTTTCTTTCTTTAAGTTGTCAATTTAATTAAAAACATCTACTAGAAATATGGGACACTTTTATAAGTATAAATAAAAATGTTGTCAAATAGAGAAAAACCTTACGACTCAAAACTACCACATTCGATTTGAAATTACGAAAATGGACCTGAGCGTTTTCGGTTTTGGACCTTTGGCCTTTTGAGTTCCTAAGGGACAAATATTGGTCCATAAATCTTAAACGACTTCAAGATTGAAAGTACAGATATCCATGATAAGATTGATATGGGAATACTTTGTTTTCTATTTTTATATAATGTTTGACGTGTATGTATTTGTTAATAAATAAACGTAACATGTTTGATCGTTGAAGATACCAGGAAATGATACATAAAGTATTAATTAAATTTTGTCACATGGGACAGTATCAGTAACCCAATATATAGACTATTAAAGTCAATATTAAGTTAGATTTTACGGCTGCTATAAGATCTAATGAAAACAAAAGAGTAGCTTCCGTGTGGAACTCGAATTTGACAAACCTCTTACTTCGATTCTGACTTATACTAGTAATTTTTAGGAGGAACTGCGAAGGAAAATATGAAATCCAAACACTATTTGAACAAAGGAACCAGAGCGTCTCACCTAGCTTTTCAAAGAACCTGTTAACGTCGGAAGCACCAATAAGATCGGAAGACCTCACACCGAAGTCAAACCAGTAGCAAACCGACAGGGAGGAAAAGCAAGAACTCACCGAGACCAGAGACACAAATACAACTACCATCACTCCTCACCAGCCAGACGTAGAGAGCAAAAAACACTAGGAACAAGGCATAAACCTTGAAGATCAACCGGAGATAAACCAATTAAGAAAAACAGCTCTTGCGCGCGGACACTCGTCGAACCAGCTTTAGCCACCTACGGACAAAAAACTGACGACGTCCTCGCAAGAGAAGAGCTAGAGAACGATTCCACTGCTTTGCCCAGAACCTATATCCAAGGAAAACAGGCTAGTAGGTGGCTCAGCAGCAAAATTCCATCAGATTGGTCAACACCAAAAACGAACCAGCCCAAATCACCACCACGACCAAGCAAGAGGACACAATAGAGAGGTAGAGCACATATCCAAAAATAAACCCCACAACGTCGAGGATGTCCATCATATATACCATTTTTTTTTTCTGTCATAGAACATTTGTTTTCGATTTTTTTTTATTATACAGATTTCAAATGTAGTATTGGGGAGGTCTTCAGTACCTTCTATTTACCCCGCCATATATAACATATGTGGTCAATTATTTGTTATAGTTTATGCAACAACCGATTTATAATGCTTTCACTGCTTCGAATGTTTAGTGGTTATCTTCCCATATGTCTAAGCTCTGGCTTCCGCATAGCCTCCACTCATGTATTGCGATAATTGATAATGTATAAGCTACTTACCTATGTGCTAATCCAATCTTCCATTTTCGAATGAAACATATTGCGGTTCACTAACAACAAAAGAATTATGACTTCATTTGGGCGGCCTCGTTCAAAATGGTGCTTTACGAGTTACTTGTATAAATGCTTATGCGGATTTCCTCTATGTAACGATCTTGAAGAGAGGGTTTTTGGATAATATCTATGTGTATATTATTATTAGATTCATGTATATCGTGTACTTGTTCTCTTGGATTCTATAGCTCTCTTTATTTATATGTATATAAATGTCTGCAAACGTTGCAGCTTGTTCAATGAATAATATATTTCTCTGCAATAAGAAGAAACACGGTTACTTTAGTACACAGTAACATCATGTAATGCTGTAGTTCTTATGACACATCTCTTTGATGTCTTCGAAATTTAGAACTTTCATATTGACATACGACAACAATTATTTTCTGAGAGTTAGAAATTTCTTAGTAAGAATATATACCTATCTTCCATATGCAAACATTTATAAACACGGTTATTGACGATAATTAAAATAAAATTAAGCACAATTATTTTCAGGAGTTTTTTGTTTTTGTTTTTACAATTGAACTCATATATAAATTATTTTCAAATTTCTAAAATGAAAAATATAACGATTTTATATTTTTCCTTGGTAGTATAATTAGAATTGCTATTTTTTTTCCGATGAAATGTGTAATTGATCAAGTATAAAACTATTTACAGAAAAAAGTTTCCAGCTGACCTTAAAAAGCTATGTTCTAATTGTTTGCTATTTTAACTTGGAATCACAATAAAAATATCTACATCTATGTATGTGTGTGTCAGATCACAATAAAAATATCTATAACTATGAATGTGTGTGAGTGTGAACTGTGACTGGGTCTTAAATTGGTCACCGCTGTTTCTTTTAGGGTCAATGAGTGTATCCACTAAACCCATCTTACACTTTTTTCATATCACAACTTGTGTGTTTGCTTTCAATCAAACAAATAATTTCTATAAAACGTGTTTCAACCATTATAATTGTAAACACTAAACCTATCTTAATTCTTTGTTAAAAAAAAAAAAAAAAAACCTATCTTAATTATACTTTTTATATCACAACTTGTGTGCGTTTGCTTCCTATCCAGAAAATAAATCCATAAAACGTTTTTAATAACCACTATAATATATATCCAACATTTAGTATTAATTTAATCTTTCATTAATCCA